TGTTGAAATTTTTTCCTATTTCTCGATAATAAATATAATTGAAGTTATGAAAAACATATCAAAAAAGTTCTTTGTTTTTTTTTGCTACCGAAATAGCACGCATAACATTGTATGAAATAAATAGTTAAAATCTTTTTTTGTTTATCCTCATTAAGGTTAATAATAATGTTGGTTAATCATGGATTATATTCATTTAATCTTATTGATTGAACTCAAATAGATATGAATATATTTGAAAAATGAAGATATTTTCTTTGAATTTTCTCGTTTATTTATTTGACATTAAAATTAATCGACAAAAGAGAATCAATTAAGAGAAAAAACAAGTAGTAGTTCACATATTTCATTTTTTTATTCTCTAATACAACAATTTCGATAATTCATCAACCGAATTTGATGATGATGATGGAACTGATGAACGTAATGAACGTTTGTCAAGTGCCCAACTACATACTTTCCATAAACATTCTATAATTAAAAACAATAAATAAATAAATAAATAAATAAATAGATAAGACATACGTCGTCCACGTTTTTGAAAATTTCGTGGATGACCATCAGTTTGATCTAATAAAGCATCAACAGATGTAATTATTCCTGGATTTGCTTCATTTAATAATATTTCGTTCTGTAAAATTTTCGAAATCAATTCATTTGATTCACTTTCGGGTTCGAGCAAAAAAGGTCTCTAAAAAAAGCAAAAGAGAAGAATCAGCAGAATTAGATAAAATAAATAAAACAAAAACGAAAAAAACCTTCTAGAAAATATTTACTTGAATATGACTTAGTGCAAATGAATTAATAAGAAATATTTGTGCACAAACAAACATTATGATTAATTGTACTTTTAACATTGTCATATTATTCTTGAAGATTAATAATAAGGAATTAAATATCAATACTAAAATAAAATATATTTTTTTTTTATTTGCTTTTTCTAATAAAACATATCCGAATTTAATATAGAGAAAATCCAAGAGTTACTCAACAAACTAAAGACAAAATGCATATAACCTGGATAGAAATTCTGTTATATATATATACATAATGAAGCAAATTAACTAAGTACTCTCGTGACTTTGAATTTTCTTCGATGCAAATTACAGATGAACAAACTTTTTGTTGAGAAGAAAAAGAAAGGATAATAACAGATTTGTATTGCCTACACATTTTTGTCATCTCATTCATTTATCGGTCGAGATCTTTTAACAAAAGTAAATGATATGCTCTTATTTAAGAAAAATTATAAAGGCAAATAATCATAATAAATATGACAAAGTCGGTATGTTTCGTTTGTCTTTTTTTTCTAATTTTAATTTCCGACAAAAATGAATTAAATAAAAAGCAAAAATAAGAATAATTTGTTTTATGATAAAACTTACACTGATGTTCGATTACTGGACAAATGTTTCCTTTTTTCTTATGTTTCTTTTTCTCTTTATCTTTTTTCTTCTTTTTTTTTTTTGCCTATCTATTCGTATGGATGATGGTGATTGAACGATGTCAAATCAACTCAAGTGTACACGATTATTATATGAAATACAATTGTATTCCACTTGAAAATTAAACCTTGAATGAAACAAAACAAATTGTGAAGGAGAAAATGACATATTACATCACAAAAAACTATCATTTTGCTAATTAAACATAAAATAAAGAAATATATCGTTTTATTCAATTATTATTAATAAATAACGAGAATTCATCTCTTTGTTTTGTCATTGTTTTATTTAAAAAAAAAATATCGACTATTTGTTTCTTTGTCATATTATGCAAATTATTTTAAACAAAAACAACAATGATAAATATATATATATATGTCTCTTGTTTTTTGTTTATTCGAAATAAAATTTCGTATCATGCTGAATATGTTTCATATTATTTCAGTGTATAAAATTCAATAAAGGAAATTTGCTTAATAATGTATCTTCAATGACATTCAGATTTTTTCAAAAGAGAATCAGCAGTATTCTTTTTTTTTTTTATATGGATATTCAAAAATGCCGGAATTAATCTTCTTCATAGAAGGAATAATTCTATGCAAAAGTAAAAAAAATGAACTAATCATCAGATTTTTCTTCAGGTTTTATTTTTTTTTCATTGTTAAATCATTAGAATTATATTAATCAATATCATTAAATGTGCATGACAATCCACTTTAACATTAATTTTAGAAGAATTTTTTTTTTCTTCTTATGATTTATTATTTCTTGTTAATTAATATTCAATTATTCATAGATTTAGAATTATAGGAATGTTGGATTAATTCTTCATTGTGGACATTTTTTTTGCCAATTAAGAAAAAAATATTCGCAAAGCACAATTGGAAGGAGAAAGAGACGAAAATGTCCACATAATGAAATGTTCGAGTAAGTCGAATTGTTGATAATGACTTGAATATTGATGGAGGTTGGGACAAGTGATTATTCATATAATGATGACTTAACACGATTAAATACAGGAACTGCAGCGCAGTACTACTATTTTCTCGTCTAGGGTTTTTACTTGTTGATCATATGATAATGATATCGATGCTGTGGGGTGCTTCCTCGATCCTTCTTTTCTTGCATTCATATACATTTAAAGATATTTTTTTGTTGATGTTGAAATTCATGACTTCCACCAGCTTCTATAACCGATGTTTTTACAATGGAATCTTTATGTATGATTATAGTGGCATAACAATAATGCTATCATAGCTAACGATTGACATTTTTTATTCAATTTATTTTAGTTTATTTGAGTGATATTAATTACTTTAGTTATAAGCACATGTAAAAGAATGACCTAGACAACATGTGATGTCTATCACTAGACTAACTCTAATAAGATAATATCCTCTTTGAAACAACCCATCTGCGCTAATCATCTCCTTGTCACTATTTTCACTTGTTTTCATAATGCGGACATTTTTGTCTCTGCCTCCTTCCGCCGATTCTGCTTTGTGTACATTTTTTCCCTTCAATCAAGGAAAAACGTTCGCAATCAAGAAGACACGAAAAGAGTCAATAAGGATTATTATATCGTACCAAAATTAGTATAGACAGCGATTGAACAACTAATTCGACTAACTTGACCTAAATTTTTATTTGAAAGAATTACTCGAAGTTGAATTATTTTTGATGAAGCACCCATTGGAATAACACATATCTCTAATGGAATTATTAAAAAAAAATGTTGTATAAAAAGGAATATATATATATATTCAAATAATGCTGATAATGAATAAATTCATCAAAGATTATAAGTTAAAAACTAATGTATAACTAAGATTAATAGTAGAGAAAAAATATTTATTTAATTATTTTTATTTTCTTACGCCATCTCTTCAAGTAAGAAAGATGAAATTGAAATATTATCAACATTTTTTTTGTTCGATAAATACGAATAATTTCTGATAATTTTTGTATATGATATAAAATATTAACCGAGAGACTTAGTAATTGTAATAATATCATTTTTCCAATTTAAAAGAAGATCATAACATAACTGAATATCGAAGATTTTTTTTTTTTTTTTGAGAGGATAAAACATTACAAATTATATGAAAAGGAAATTAATTTATTACATATAATTCTGAATAATTCTAAATTAAAAATTCGTGAATTTTAAAAATATTTCAATCTATTCACTTTATGTTTGAGTTCAACTTTAGTATCAATTCTTCTTTTTTTCTTATATACCCATCTAATGAAAACCAGAGAAAAACTGTCCGGTTTTACCGGCTCGGCTACCGACTCCCATTACTGTGCTAAACAGCAATATACTGCCGGTTTTTTCGATGAACAACGGTTAACCGATACTTCTGTACAGTTGCCTGACATCGTTTGATTCTTTGTTTTACTAATATTTGTAGTTAAATTTAACAATTATTTTTCAATTAACCTAAGTTTTATTCCAGCTAAAATTACATGGGGTAGTCAAAAGGTTCTCGTAATAGTACTCTAAAATTTCATCCTGATTGATTTTATTCCTGATGTTAGTCTATTCTAGTAGTGGAATCTGTTATGTGTTAAAACACTAATACGAAGTTTTACAAGTGTCTATTATGATAAATCTTTAATCGATTTTTTCAACACCTCTGTTTTCAGATGGATAAACTTTGTATTCGCTCATTTATAAAAACTCGTTGGTTATTAAGTTTAAATGATACACAAATTCATGATGAATTAACTGCTGCTTATGGACAAGGTGTTATTTCATATAGTACAGTTATAAATAAATAAGTGATGCGACAAACACAACATTTCGTTTTTTTTTTGTGTCATGACTGGATGGAACTTAATTATTTGCACAAGGACAAATAATAGTACACATTTTCAAAAGCAATTTGACAGCAATTAGAATTTTTTGTTTACTACTCTTATAATTAAAAATATGTTGACATAGACTGCGTTGAATTTGCTTTTTAATAAGCGTGCTATTGATTTTTTTTTATATGAATGGTCACGCTCCGTCCAAACATAACAAAAAAAAAAGAAAACAAAGTGTTAGTGAAATTTCATGATGCAGACACATAAATAATTCTAAAAGAATATCTCAGTTTGTGTACTCTCTTAACGGCTGATATGTTTAATAAGTTAGTTTAACAAAAATAACATTGATATGATCTAACTAAGACCAGTCTCCTTAGTTTATAGTAATGATTTCTCCATTTTTAGCTATATAATGTATCATTTATCTTTCTTTACTATGAAATAATTTTCAAGATATATATATGCTATTCACCGAAAAAGGCAATATGAAAAACAATTTTTAGTCACGGAAAGTACGACAAAGGTGAGGACAAAATGAACTGATCTCGTCATATTTAATGATTCTATATAAGAACTAAATTGCTCGCAACGATCTGCAGTATTTTCGAGTCTTTTTATTAAATACTTTTAGACGAAAAGACATATAACTATTTAACTGAAATAATTCGTTTTAGCATATTGTATCTCACACATAGAAGAAAACTTGTTTTCATTTGGACGAATTTCAATTATTTAAATTTTGAAATGTCATTACCCTTAAAAAATTTGGAACCATTTACTGCTATTTGGCTTGATCCTGAAATAAGATTACCCTCAACATCGTCAAGTTTTACAAATGCACGAAAGAAATTACGTGAAACAATTAATTTTTTAATAGATTTTTCTAACGCTGATAAATGTATTGATTATATTAAAGATGAAGATGCCAAAAATATTATACTTATAATAGCAGGTCGTTTAGCTAGACGTATTATACCTTCAATACACAATTTTCAACAACTAATCGCTATTTACATTACATGTAGACCAGACAATGTAATGAGAAATCAAGAAGTCACCAAACAATATCATAAAGTAAGCATATTGAAAGTGTGATTTATATCTCTGTCAACAAGGTCTGTAGAATCGAATTTCTTCTGCTTCCAGTGATTTTTGTTTGTTTTGTGGATGTAATCGGTCTATCCATTTTCATGAAGTGTCATTTTGAGTAAAAATATTATAAAATAAGATGAATTGCGATTGTATATATCAAGTCAAATTACTTCAGTGATATTTCTTATTCTTAAGAGTTGTTATAAAATGGTATCTTCCTATGGTAGTGAATACTGTTAAACAAGAAAGATCATTTGGATATATTAAAATGTAGAAAAATAAAAGATAGTAACATTTATTAAAACATTTAAATTCTAGGTTAAATCTGTCAGTAGTTCTATTGACCAATTAATTGAAGTAATCGTCAGAGATCAAATCGATCGAGAAAAAAATGAAAATGGTTTATTACTATCTCTATTTAATTCAGAAGAACTACTCTACGGGATGTCATGCAAATGCCTTGAATATGAAAGTGAATTGATTATTTGGACACAAACATTTCTGCAATTTATAATTGGAACTGAGAGACAAGCAGGTGAAACCGACATTACAGAACTTATCAAATTACTTAAAGAACGGTACATTGATAATGAATATCGTTTGAATGCCATTCAGGAATTCCAGCGTACTTACGACTCTTCTTCAGCACTAAAATGGATTACCAACGATACATTTATTTTCCGACTATTGAATCGAGCTCTAAAACAACGAGATGTTTCTACTTTGTTGCGATTTGTTTTTTTTATTCGCGATTTGTATAATGGTCTAATTAAAGCTCATGAATGTTCATCAGAGTCAATCGTGCGTGTTTATCATGGTCAGACATTGTCTTCGAGTAATTTGGAAAGGCTACGTAGGAAAGAAGGATCATTTTTCATGACTCATACATTTTTTTGGTCAAGTCAAAACCGTGAGAAGAGTATTTCATTAGCGAACTCAAATGATTCACAAATACAATCAGTTCTGTTTGAAATTGAAATATCAAAACGTACTACAGTTTCAAAAGCATTCGTCACTTTTACCAATTTAGATAATTTAGAAGAAAATACAGAGACTTTATTCATGTTTGGTACTATATTTTATTTGTCAAGTGTTTCATACGTTGAGGAAGATAAATTGTGGATGATCAAATTAATATTGTGCGATGATCGAAATGATGATATTAAAGCAGTATTGAAAGAAGTAGCAGGCCATTTGCAAGAGAATATTGAACGTCTTGGTTTCAACGGTGATCGGTATAATGAAACCTCTTATAACAACGTATATCAAGCAAATCAATCGTTGACAAATGTAACTGATGTTGATCTACCAGAAATTCCACTTCCATCTTTGTACTCATCAAAGCGTCAAGGACCTATTACAATATTAGAAAGTTTTCCATTAACGACAAAGGATGAAAACATGTTACACATAACCCCTTCCATCGACACTATTGCATCGATGGATGCTGCATTCGAACTTTCCTTGGACACACCCCAAAATCGTGTACGATGGAGAATTTATATTCTTTGGTGTCAAACTGATATACGTAATAATGCTCAAAGTTATTGGAAGTTTCGAATTCAGCTAGAGAAACTTCATTTGAATGTACGATATTTTGATACGATAGACGAAACTGTTCAAGAAATTAGTAGATCTAAGAATGAATTATACTTTTTAATTACCTCAGATGGATTAGCTGACTTTTTGATCTCACAAGTTCATGATCATCCTCGTGTATTCTATTTATATATTTTATCAGAATTTACAGTAGACAAGAACACATCAAACTTATTATCAAACTATGAAAAAATTCGAATAATAACTGACAATCAACAAACAATATATAATCAAATTGCTTCTGACTTGAACAATACCGTTGAAAGTCTTCTGCAGCATTCTAACGAAATCGATGATGACAGTAGTTTTAATCAAATCAGTTTCAATGTTGATGAAGATTTTACACCAATAGCAATTATTGACAGCGACTATCGACCAGGAAATTTATTTCGTGATGTATCTTATGATGAATCTGTTTTTATGGGGTTTCAATTACTTATCAAGATAATCTATTGTTTAGAGTTGACAGATGAAGATAAACATGATATGATTCAATATTGTCGTAGTAAATGTGATAACAACAAAAGTGAGTGAAGTATTAAACTAATAAATAGAGTTTCAATAGAACTTCTCATTTTAGCTCAGCAAAAACAGATCGAGGACTTTAATAAGAAATATACGTTGGATCAAAGTATAAATTGGTATACAAAAGATTGTTTTGTCTATCGTTTTCTGAACGAAGCCTTTCGTAGTGAAGATATTTTCAATATCTATCATTTTCGATATTTCATTTTCAATCTTCAAAAACATCTATCAATACTAAGTAGACAACAATATCCGCTTAACAGTCAAGTAAATTTAATTGTTTATCATGGTAAACCAATGCCAAATTTTCAATTGAGAAGACTAAATAAGAATAAAAATTTTCTTATATCAATGAATACATTTTTATCTGCGACAAAAAATCTAAAAGTAGCTGAAATGTTTTGTGGAGATGCATCACGACGAGCGCTTGGTATAGAGCCAGTCATATTTGAAATTACAATTAACACAATAGTCAACGACGAGACAATCATTTTTGCCAATATTGCTTCGAAGAGCAATATGGAGGAAGAAGAAGAAATTCTATTCTCACCAGGTACAGTATATCATATTCAGTCAGTTGATCAACTTGATGATGCAAACAAAACATGGTATATTAAACTGATATTAACATCTGAAACTGATTTGAAACAACTTCATGCTTATTATAATAAGGAGATCGAGATAGGATTCAATATTGACATAAACAAACGAACAGGACCGATCTTTATAGCAAAACATTTACTCAGAATGAACGAAAATGAAAAAGCGGAACGTTTTCTACAAATTTTATTGAAAAAATATCCAGCAAGAACTCCTGAATTAGCTATGGCATATATGAACTTCGGAAACCTATATAATCGTCGTCGAGAACATAATAAAGCAATCGATTCTTTCGAAAAAGCAATGAATTCTTTGGATACCACTGATTCACCCTTAAAAGCGGCTATACTGCACAATATAGGGTCAACCTATACAGGACTCCAAGACTTTCATACTGCACTCAAGTATTTACAACGTGCCGTTAAAATTGAAGAGCAAATGTTGTCAAAATGCGATCCCAAACTGGCGATGACATATCATAACATTGGATTCTGTTATACGGATATGGGTAAATACAATGATGCATTTGAATTATATAAGAAAGCACTAAACATAATTGAAAAAATGAGACCAATGTATCATCCAGATAGAGCACTGATCTATATGCGACTAGCGGCACTTTATAAAAATACGGAAGATTATGAGGTAGCACTAGACTTTTATGAAAAAGTGAAGACTATATATTTAAAAATAAAAGCTAGTAAACTAGATATGGCGATTTTATTAAATAATATTGGAACGGTATTCGTGTGTGAAAAACATCCGGATAGAGCAATCGAATATTTTAAACGTGCTATGGAACTACGTTCATCTGTCATACATCTAGATAATCCTGAAAATAGTAATACCTATCACAACATCGCAGTTGCCTACTATCAAACCAATCAACTAGAATTAGCGGCTGAAAACTATGAGAAGTATTTGGAGAGCACTGACAAGTATCTACCGTACAAGCATAGGTGGAAAGTTAAAGCAAATAATGCTCTTGCCGAAGTTTACGGAAAGTTAAATGATAACATTCGAAGTAGAATCAATAGTGCGATCGCTTTGTTAAGAAAACCAAATGAAAATTTCAATACAAAATTAGATATGCACTCAGTATTGGTCGATCTGTTATCCACTGCTACTGCGCCTTACACAAAGTATCACATTAAACAACTGTTGAATCTGTCTCGTGAAGATGGGCTAACTCCAGAGCATACCATTGTACAAACGTATAGGATGCTTCTAAACAGTCAACAAGACTCCTAATCAAAAAATCTATTTGTCATTGTCAATTACAGACTTCAAAACGTAATTGAATATTCAATCAAACATAACAACGGCAAATCACCATAGAAACGTGTTTTCTGACTTGATTTTATTTAAAACTATGCTTACGATGAACAAATTCTGTTTCTTAGAAAGAAAACCTACATTTTATTGCTCTTCATTTCAATAAATTTTCACATAAAGATATTCATATTCTTTATTTTTCTCTCTCCTTTACTGTCAATACACATTGATCACAACCAAGAGAAACCTAGAGATATAAACGAGAAAGTAAATAAAGATCTATAATCATATTTAACCCTAATTGTTAATGTTACATACAGAGATCTTTATGAATTAGATTCCATTATCAATGAATCAAATTGCTATGACATTCTTTACAGATATCGAAAAAATCTTTGCCATGAAATGAAGTTTAACAAGTTCTGTGACTAAAAGTATTTATCTGCAAAATGTCCTTTTAGTTTTCATTTATTACGGAAGTATGAGGGTGTGGGACTTTGTTTAGTGAACATCCACACTCAACCCAGAACGACGATTCCTGAGGCACTATTCCGTGTATTTCCAGCGAAAATCCTCAAAAAAAAATGAATCCGGTCATCGAATCCGTTCATTGGTATAATGTTTTCATGAAATCTCTGGGATATCATGCAATTGGCCGTTTCCGTCTTGGAAATCCACACCCACAAAAAGAACCTTCAATCATTTCTTCATTCTTTCTCATATTGATATGTTCCTTATCTTGCTTTTTCATCATTCTTTGTCATTGTGTTTACTGATGGATATGAGCAAACATTGTAATTAAAATGACGATATTTGCCATCTCGGATTTCTGTATTTCCGAGGAATGAAACAAAATAAAATCTCAACTTGTAGAAAAAGATTTTAAAAAAAAAACTTGCAATAATCGTTATTATTTTTGTTTATGGCTTTGATTTCGAATACTTCACGATTGAAATAAAAAGGAAAACTAAAATGTGATCAGTTTGTAGGACAGTGATTGAGTTTCCAAGATCAATATGTATGTAGAATGAATAAAAGATTGTGAAAAGAAGAAGACGAATACTCCGCCTTTCGGCTACCTTACAATGTAACACAATGTCTGAGAACAGTTTTGAGAGTCCGATATTTGTCGTACATTCATTACTTAATGTAGCTCTGAACAGGAGGCCAGTCTGACTTAGAGGTTTTTCATTTAATCATTTAACCTCCTTCTCCACCCTCAGAAATGATTTCTCACTTGGAACCCATCGTTTGGACGGAAATTTTCAGGGATGATTAGTCTTGGTGAGAAACGCTTATGGTAAAAATTGCAGTTTGTTTTTCTATCTCCCAGGAGAATCGAAATAAATCCGTCAATAGAAGGGATACAGAGCACGGACTGGTTTCAAGGGAGAAAAACAGATTTCAAGATTCATAAAGATTTCCAGAGATTTCAGGGGTTAAAATGTGCTTTTTTCCTTTTAAGGATTCGAGAAAAGAAACATAAACTGAATTTGAATATATACTGTAAGATAAACAAATAACCAAAAAGATGTGTTGCTTAAAATGTTACAATCGAGAGAAGTTACATAATATTTTAAACAAAAAACTTTACATAAGTATTCTTTAGACATCAGTATCAACTTGAATTCTATCAGATAAATCAAATAGAAGTCTATTTATTGATAGAAACTTCTCACAAAAATGACAAGGAGAATACCATTTCATCAAGAAACATTTACAATTTTCTTTAAATAATTTAGATAAAAATTTTCTTCTATTTTTCAAAGATTCATTTACATTTCTTATAATATGGTTCATACGAAAATTCTTTCACACGCATAGAATGTTAACATACCTTTATCAAAAAGTTTCGCGTTAAGAATTTCAAAATAACATACATACATGTTTAATAAAAAAAAGAAGTATAGGGTTCACTAATTTCTTTACTATTATTACTAAGATTTCTTTTATAGAATCAAATACTTGATCTATCTATAATTATATGTCTAAAAAGGAAGAGATACTTTTCAATGTAGCAGATTAACGTACTGCGAGAATAGCACAAATTTTTCTAATTAGTATCAATACAAAAGAAAAGTAACTGATATTATATCTATTTATTTATGTTTGTTGATTTTTTGCGAGAGATAAAACAAAATAAATGTCACAATGAAACTCTACATCTGACAAATATCCGATAAGAATATCAGTTATCATTAGAAAATCATAGAAAACGAATATTCGTCAGAATATATATCTATCCTTAACGAGTAAATACTCCAAGAGGTTATTCAGCATGTTTTCTTTTTCTTAATATATTGTCTCACTTTACACATATAATCTAAATAAAAACAAAATATACAATTCTCTAATCAGCTATAGTTTAACCCTTTCGGGACCAGTGACGTTTTAAAACGTCATTGAAATTTTACGTGATCTGACGGGTGAGAATTGGAATTTTTTTCACGTCTCTTCCAAGTAAACGTTGCGACTGCTTTTTTTTATACGTTCGTGTTATGACCTGTGTCTTCTTCAGATGCGATCATAAGGATTTTTTCTCATTATCTATATGATTCTATGAAGAGACTTACATTCATCTTCTTTTCTCTTAATGTCATTCATGCGTCACGAATTTTTCCTTTCCGTCATATGTGTAAATGTGATAGACTTTTCCTTTCCTGCTATATATGCATGTGCGATGGACTTCTCTGTTCTTTCTACTTCTTTTTCTTTCGACTGACTTTATGGATTTTCCCTTTCTTGATCGTCAGTTATGAAATCTTTTCATCGTATTGATTTTTTTCGCTTGTTATCATTTTATATATGGTCCTTAGATTGTTATGAAGAGAAAGATTTATACAGAAATGGATCTACATGGATTAAGACCTCACAGTTCATGCTTCCTGATGTTCACATTTTGATGAATATGGCAAAGATAAACCATTTTCGAAAAGTTGAAAATTTTGTAATTCTTGCTCAAAATAAGCCGGTCCTGAAAGGATTAATCAG